TCAAACCTTTTCTGGATGAGCAGGAGGCGGACGCAGTGGAATCTCTAGTTCCAATGGGGGGCCAACCGGTTTCTCTCTAGGTTTAGCCTCAATATTGTCCTCTTCTGAATCATATCTAGCATCTTCATCAGCCACTACATCCTCTAGTCTTGGACTCTTTCCATAGCTCCCTTCCTCTTCCATTGGGGATCTCTAAGGCAGGAACACACGTATAAATCATTTTAAAATTTATGACTCTTCAACAGCCTCAACAAATGAAAGATTTAAGAATATTGGTTTTCAAATTGGTACTCACATTTGGTTCATGCTCAATGTCATTTTGAACAGCGTAATCTGTTGGTTCTTCTTCATCAGAGTCACCAAATACATTACGAACAGCAGAGTGTACGATGTGAGTATGGTCCTTCTCCTCGTCAGGGGATCTAAAGTTAAAAATCAAGTTTCCCCTTAGTCAAACTAGCCAGCTGCTTACTCTAAACAAGTGTATGTACATGAAGCTAACAGTAAGTTTTTTTGTTTCTCTGGAAACAAAAATAAGCACAGTGCTTGATGCCAGCGCATTCCCATGAAGATCCACTAAGATAAACGAGAAGAAAAAAATTTTGCTTCAGGTATGCTCTTTAAAATTCACTCAGCACAAGTGTATATTTTTATGCGAGAGAGAGAGAGATTACCTCGGACTTCTAGCCTGATTAACCTCGTCATCTTCATTGTCAGGGTAATGGTTTTCCTCAGACCTCTCAGACCCACTTTCAATCACATTTCGTCTCCGGCTTGTCAACTCTTCTTTTTCATCAGTGTCTGTATATTTTCCATCACTTTCTTCTCTTTGATCACCAATTTCTACTTCTTGGGAACTTTGTTCTCTCTCGCCCTCACTTTCTCCTGGATCAGGGTTAACATCACGCTGCTCAGCATCACTCTCTACCTCTACCTCCCCCTGGCCCTCTACTTCACCCTCACCCTCAGGCTCCAGTGCTCCCTCCCCTTCATCCTGAAAACAAAACCATCACGAAGATGTTTTCACAAAGCACCTTGATGCTGGTATAGTTGTTACAAGTGCTAAAGGATTGTTTCAAACTTTCAGCATAAGCATAATGACGATGCATTAAAACAATTACATACTTAAATACATGTCGACCTAATAACTTATAATCACTACATCATATAAGATGCAACTCATATTACTAATAGCCAAACAAAATCCT